TCCCCGAGGCCTCCTCCCGGTGGGACGTTTGTAAAAGCATTTTTGCTACAGATTTTCTACATTGCACGAGCACGGTTCCATGACGCTGCACTTGTGTCGGCACAACAGCATGAGTTACTTGATGTTTCTGCCGCATCTGGGTCGTTATTGAGTTCTACCGTAGATCTCCACACAGCATCCTAACTGGTGTGTCCCGCAGAGCGTCTGGTTTAGTGCTACTGTCTGAAAGGTCAACAGCGACATCTAGTGGACTAAAGCAAGAATTGCACATGCAAGTGAACCTGCTGCTTCTCTCCTTCACAATAAAGGACAGGTTACCTCATGCAAAGCAGGTTTATGAATATTGTAAGTATAAACGTAGTCTGCCAAAAAATATCTTCTATTTGTAATGCTATCAGGTAAAATCTAGCAGTTAAACAGCCATTTACAAGCTTCACTTTACAGGTTTGTTAGTTATTCAGTTTGAGGTTTGCTAAAATGTTGTTCATGATTCACTGGGAGTTTGCTTAATGAGTAGAACATGTGGTGTGTCCTATTATTACTGTATTATATGACACTGTGTGCTTTGTGCCAATAGTTTCACCAACAAATGTAACAATCTCCTAATAAACAGTTAATTATGTATAGAAATATCACTTTCCCCCAATTTTAGTTGCATCTTATTGTTCTATTCACAGTTTGCACAACTACTTTTCCAACTAAAGAATATTTTAAGTGACCTTTTTATTAACTGATTAACCACCTAGTCCACAAAGTGTCCATCACAGTGCTTGTTGAGTGCAACCAATAATACAAAACGTAATATAGTCATGAACTCAGAAAATATAACGTGACCAAACACAACCTCTTTATTTTTAATAATAGTGGTTTCGATTATCAATGAAGCCAATAACTTACTATGCAGCCAGTATTATTTTATTCTATGTTTTATTGTGGAGGTCCTGGTTTCACCACCAGTGAAGCAGACAAGTGTGGTAAATTCTGTGTGTTTACTCAGTTTACATTGTTTTCCTGCTGTCACCTTATATGAAGTCCAGCATTGCCTTAAATTCATATCTGTCTGGCTACTTGACTTGTTTTTAACATGTCTGAAGGTTATTGTGCAACACTGATGTTGTGAACACTTTGTTTTTACCAAAAACTGTCTTGCTTTTGCCAAGAAATAATAAATCCAGCAAAAATGAGTTCTCCACTACAAACTGGAGAAGATGCACAAAAATGAAGAGGATCAACAATTTATACTAACCGTGTTTTTCCTCAGAGAAAGACTGTGAATGTTGTCTCACACACTTTTATCTCGTACAGACTCGTGTTATTAGCAGCAGTCAGCCCATGCAAATAGAACGCAGGGTTTTTTTAATGGTGATGGGAAACTTTGGAGTGTTTTAAACCCTCAGAGATGGTTCATTTGAAAGAAGAGACTGTTTCAGAAGTTTAGCTGTAATGCTCTAATGAACCAGAGGAGCTGAGGGCCAGACAGGAGGACATAAGTAGGACATCATCAGTAGCTCTGCTTTTTCCTCCCAGCACCAGTTTTCAGTCGTGGTGATGTTGCTGCCTGTAAATGTGTGCTCAGTCGAGGATCTTTTTGGAAAGTATTCAGACTTCTTTGCTTTCTGTTTGTGTTGTAGTTCTTATTTTAAAATGGATGAAGCTGCCCTTAGCCCTCTAATTTACGATGGCAAAATGAAGCCAGCACCTGGTGTTGACGAGACATAATGATCAGTTAGCTCAGTGTTTGTCCAATCATTCCACAGATTCTTTTTCCTCGTGCGCTCAGAGTCTTTAAAAAATGCTGTTTGGCAAACTCTGAGCAGGCTGTCATGTGTGTTTTCTTCAGAGTGGCTTCCATCCAGCCAGAGTTTAGTTGCTTGGTTGAGTGCTGCTGAGATGGTTTCCCTTCTGGCAGCTGATACAAACCTTTATACTCGACTCACGGTTTGACAGTTTTCTTCATGTAGAGTCCCGGTACTCGTGCAGCCATCCAACCATAAAAGTCGATAACCCCATAAAACACTGTGACTCTCATATTGCACACACAAAAACACATAAACAACATTTTTTTATGTCAACATCACACTCGTGGTTTATTTAGCATTTGTTGAAGCACTGAAGTTCCATCTGTAGCATGCACATTTAGTTAACCTCTGTCCGCTCAGCATTGTTTTTTTAAAATTGTATTAATCTTTTCTTTATCTCACCAGTGCTGGAGTATCCAGGCTTCTGCTGCTGGGATCATCTGGCCGGCTTTGAGCAGAAGATGGCACCCGGTGAAGCACCAGGCTTTTATACCAGAGCTGCCAATCAGGGAACGCCAAGTACGTGCCACTTCAAGGGGGGAGACAGGGTTTATTTGATTGAAATATTACGTTATTCATTTCACTTGTCTTGTCCCGGTGAGGACACCCGGGATCTTTCTGCGTGGAGTCTCCATGTTCAGTGTGGGTTCTCTCCGGGTTCTCCAGCTTCCTCCCACAGTCCAGAAACATGTTGAGGTTAATTGGTGATTGTAAATTGTCTGTAGGTGTGAATGTGAGTGTGCTTGGTTGTCTGTCTCTAAGTGTAGCCCTGTGATAGACTGGTTACCTGTCCAGGTGAACCTGCCTTCACCCTGAGTCAGCTGGGATAGACTCCAGCCCCCCATGACCCTAGTGAAGATTAAGTGATGTATAGATGATGGATGGAGATTTTGGGTTTGTGTAAAATTCTGTCTTTCGATTAAGTGAACAAACTGTGTTGTTTTGTGGTCGTTGTCGTTAGTTCCGGTGCTGGTGTTTTACGGTTCCCCTATTGTGTTAGTTTGGTCTGACCTGCCAGTATATGTTTCCCCTTTTGTTCATCATTTGTCAGGTCAGCTGTGAGTCATTTGATCGGTGGAGTTGGGTGTTTGGGTTATTTTGTTGCTGTAGCTTTAGTTAAGTTATTTTCCTTTGAGCTCTTTTTCTGGCCCAGAATTTGTTTTTGTAACTTTGTTTTTTTTTTTGTGGGTTTGAAAAAAAACCCTGAGAATCATTTTGCTTTGCAGCTGAGTCCCCCACAAGTAGTGGTGGTCAGATGAAGCCTCGTGAAGCCTTGAAGCTTTCCATCCAATTGTTTCTCAAAAAAAGAAAAAAAGGTTCATTTCTTTCTTCAGGCTCACAGGAATCCTCCTGCTGGTCAAGAAGTTTTCTGTCATTTCAACTATTTGTGACGGCCTCTTGGTTTCCTGAAACAGTGTCAGCATGACAATAATCACTGAAAGAACAGAGATAAAAACACTACATTTGGTTTTGTGTAGTTCATTCATTCATTTAATCTGTTCTTGATCAACATGTGGGTAATAGAGGTCTGTTCATGTCAAAAAAAACTTGCCGGTTTGATTTCAGTCCATGTTTAAATAAACCCAATAAGACATGAGATGTTCAAACTGTTGCAGTGTTTCCATAAGACGGGGTGACGGTGACTTTATTCATTATTATTAGGAAGCAATATTATTTCCAATGTGCTTGGACTCAGTTGGCTTCTCTTTTTAGAAATAACCTCTCCGACTGTGGAGAAAACCCTTTAGTAGGAACACATCTCATCGTATACAGGCATATTATATTTCATAACTTATTTTGCTGCCATACATGAAAGTTCCTCTATGTCACAGGCAAACTCCAACATGAACACTAAATGTAAATTTGGCTGGCATCCATTGCGCTTTATATATGCTTATAAATCACAGCAACACCCAAACCACTTCCTGAACCAGCGAGGCTTCAGACGTTATCAGTGAGTCACTCACCCTTAACTAAACAAACCTTCATAGAAGACTTCCTGGATTCCTCGACACCCATCACTACTCACAAGCATTCGCTGCTTGTTAGCCTGTTAGCATGTGGACTTTAGAGAGACTCACTGCTGCAGTTTGGCTAATAGTTGAACCACTTTTAACACTTGCTAGAGTTTGTTATTTTACATTTTGAATGAAATACTTCAGTCACCTCCAGGTCGTTTCTGATGTCTTTCAACTGTGTTGCATACGTGTTGGGACAGGTTTGTTTGTAAAGGCGTGTATTGTTTCACTTTCCCCTGATTCCTGCTCTCCAGTGACCTGAGTATTCTGAGGCAGCATGATACTCAAAACTCCTGGCAAGGTTTGGAGAAGCACCTTAGTTTGTCAGCGTTGGTTGTGTCCTTGTGCAGTAGACGGGTGCAGTGGTTACGGGACAGAAACTCATTAGTCAAGATCTGGTGATTTCTGATGAGCATCCATGATTAGAAACAAGTAGAAAGATTTGTAATGCTGTAGACTGGTTCACCTTTAGTTTAATGAACTTGATGAAAAAGACATTTACCTCTGCTCTCAGATGTACGTCTGCTAAACTAAATTGTAGAATTGTAAAGGTTGGAGAGTTACTGTGCAAAAAATGTGAACAAACCTTACACTGACAGAGGCACAAGAAGGATTGAATCTGTTGATTTCAGATCATGTAGCTGCCTTTCTTCATCTGATTTTACATGCTTGTATTGATTTAATTTTCCTTCTGATCAAGTGTTATTGTCTGCCACGTCAGAATGTGGACCGATAAAAGGGGGAAAAATGGGGAGAAAACAACGAAAGAGAGCAGCTCTGTGCTAGAAAATTATTAACTGTCTGTGTCTTTGATTTGAAAGAGAAAAAGAAGAAGCGTGATCGCTCATGCTCCATGACTTTTACTTCCTCGTTCTTGCTGCTGTTTGGTCACCGCGTTATCTGAATGTTTTTTTTAGCATCTGGACTGCTCAAACATTTTTATATAAGTTTTGATTCTCAATAAATTTACTGCTTTAATGCAACAGAACATCCCTGTGAATGCCAGAATGTGACTTGGACCAATATCACACAAGCTATTGAAGTGCTTCAATTTTGCAGGTGCATCTGGTCAAATGATTTCCTAATCAGCTTTCTCTGATTGGTAAATATCTTTCCGCATCGATGGTTGCAAACTGGTGGTTTGCAAAAGCGGATTTGGGAAAACCCCTGCTGTAAATAGTGAATAGGCAGCACAAGAATCAGAGTGAACAGGGTCAGTGACGCAAGCTGAAAGGAAGAACTCGTGTGCAAACTGCACATCAGTCGGCTGAGAATTCCTCAACAGCCTTATCCCACTTTGTTTTCAACATGAAACGCTTCAAGTACCTGCTGTTACTGTGGCTTTTGTCTCCATCCATGATGGGTGAGTAACTCATTTTGACTTTTTACGTGCACTATATGTGCAGTATGTGCATTTTGTATGTGCATTTTCTTCTGAGGCTTTAGGATCAAGTGCACAGTGTTGCACTTTAAGCAATGACCTTAACATGTTAACAAAATGAAGCGTTTTCAATCGTGTAGCTGCTGTTGATTTCACTTCTTCTTAAGTACTTATCATGTCCAGTTCAGTCTTTTTTGTTCTTCTCCTTCACTACAGAGAATATGCAGGGCTTTCTACTTCACTACGTTCACTAAAATTAGGATAAAGTTAATTCTAAGATTTAGAATTATACATATATATTTATCACCTTATGAAGTTTGATATATTACCATAAAATATACTGTCTATGGTATAAAATAGTTAAGTCAGCTCCACCTCGATAAAACATCAAAATACTGTCAAAATCTAAACACATTATTGTTCAGTACAGCACAGTGACAGCAGTCATTCTCTGGTTTGTTGAGCTATTATGAATTTCTTACATTTTGCTGCTGATACTTTTGTACTTCAAATTCTGGATTCCTTTCTTTGCTTCACAAGAGAATTTTTACAGTTTGGTAGTTTCTTGATTTTTGTTATGTAAGATGCTGGTTACCAAGACGTCTTCCGCTTGCTGTTGCCCCGTTAGTTTTGTCTTTTGGTGTTATTTTTAACGTTCTCTTGGGGTGACAGAACGTTCTGCCAGATCCCGCTAGAGCAGCAAGTTAGAAAGCACGTCTCTGTTTTTGTCGTCAGTGATTTCTATTGTAGAAAATCTTGTCAGAAATTTGTCAGAAAATGAATCTGACAAAAGTAATAATACATAAAAAATTCTATGAAAATTTAGAAATGAAAATCCGACATTGCTTCTGACTCGTGGTTCAACAGAATCATTTTTAGGCCTGGACAAAGATGATGGTACCCCTAGAAAAGACTGAAAATAATGTGACCATAGGGACATGTTCAATCAAGGTGTGTCCTCTAATTAGCATCACAGGTGTCTACAGACGTGTAATCAGTCAGTCGGCCTGTTTATAGGGTTACAGGTGGTCACTGTGCTGTTTGGTGACATGGTGTGGACCACACTGAACATGGACCAGACAAAGCCAAGGAGAGAGGTGTCTCAGGAGATTAGAAAGAAAATTATAGACAAGCATGTTAAAGGTAAAGGATATGAGACCATCTCCAAGCAGCTTGATGCTCCTGTGACTACAGCTGCACATATTATTCAGACATTTAAGATCCATGGGACTGTAGCCGACCTCCCTGGACGTGGCCGCAGGAGGAACACTGATGACAAATGGAAGAGATGGATAATGGTGACAAAAGAGCCCAGAACAACCTGATTTAAGGTGGATTGATCCAGATGTGATGGACATGGCCAATATTCTGCATGTGAAGGAACTGAGGATATGAGAAAACATGTTATATCTGCACATTAAACACAATGAGAGTAAACCTTCTTCTTTACCCTTCAGATTGTTCTGCTGATGAAGATGGCTACTTCATGTATACTGACCATAGGTGTTCCATGCACTCCAGAGATAAAGAGCAAGTGGAGTATCTGGTCGACTGGTATTTTAACAAGGAGTTTACAATGCAGTACAACAGCACAGTGGGGAAGTGGACGGGCTTTACCCCAGCTGGAGTCATCACAGCTTTGGAGCAGAATGTCAAGCAAGACTTTCTACAGAGGATAGTGGAGCGAGATCTGATATGTGTCAACAATGTTGAGTTGATATACAACATAACTGAAGAATACATGGGTAAATATTGAAACACCGCCTAAATGCATTGATAGTGATAATGAGCAAATGTCCATCCATCCATCCATTATCTACACACCGTTTAATCCTCAATAGGGTTGCAGGGAGCTGGAGCCTATCCCAGCCGATTTAGGGCGAAGGCAGGTTCACCTGGACAGGTAACCAGTCTATCACAGGGCTAATGAGCAAATGTGAAGATTTAAATCAATAAGAAAGAACTTTAACCCTCTGAAGCCCAAAACCCACAGAGGGATTTAAAAAGCATGGTGTCGTGAAACAAATCAACAAAATGACCGAAAACTAGTAAAAGCAAAGAGAATCAACATGTTTTGACCTTGAACTAATCATGTTGTGTTGATCACTCACGAAACGTAACCAGATCTGAGCCTAAACTTGTCATATTTCATCAAAATCACTTCATTGTGCATGTATATATATATATATATGTGTGTGTGTGTATATATATATNTGAGTGCTGCTGAGATGGTTTCCCTTCTGGCAGCTGATACAAACCTTTATACTCGACTCAAGGTTTGACAGTTTTCTTCATGTAGAGTCCCGGTATTCTTGCAGCCATCCAATCGTAAAAGTCGATAACCCCATAAAACACTGTGACTCTCATATTGAACACACAAAAACACATAAACAACATTTTTTTATGTCAACATCACACTTGTGGTTTATTTAGCATTTGTTGAAGCACTTAAGTTCCATCTGTAGCATGCATATTTAGTTATTCTCGTAGCTTAATCGTAACAATTGGACTTGTTTGAGTTCCTTGAAGACGTTCCACCTCTCATCCAAGAGGCTTCATCAGCTCTGACTGACTAGTTGGGAGTTCCAGATACTTTTATCCTTAAGGAGACATTAACACCTGAGTTTGGGGGTTTGTTGCTCCTCCCCCTCGTTATGTGAGTAATTAGTACTACCCCTGCTACAAAGGGGTTCGTTAGAGTCTTTTGTGGCTCGCTGTGGATGTGGTTTCATCTTCCTGGGGAGAGTTCTTAGGACGGAATTGTAAACAGGTGAGAGGTGACGCCTCAGACCTCCACCTCTGTTGAGGGATGGTCCTTCCAGTTAGATGACTTCTTTCACCCCTCTCTTTCAAACCAGCTGTCCTCCCTGCAGGCCAAAATCTGTACATTGTTTTCAAATGAGTGTCCTTTGGCCTTAAGATGCAGGTGGAACTCCCAACTAGTCAGTCAGAACTGATGAAGCCTCTTGGATGAGAGGTGGAACTCAAGCAGTTGCTACGATTAATCTACGAGAATAACCACGACCTGGATGACTGAGAATCTTCACAGACACATTTAGTTAACTTCTGTACACTCAGCATTGTTTTTTATAATTGTATTAATCTTTTCTTTATCTTACCAGTGCTGGAGTATCCAGGCTTCTGCTGCTGGGATCGTCAGGCCGGCTTTGAGCAGAAGATGGCACCCGGTGAAGCACCAGGCTTTTACACCAGAGCTGCCAATCAGGGAACGCCAAGTACGTTCCACTTCAAGGGGGGAGACAGGGTTTATTTGATTGAAATATTACGTTATTCATTTCACTTNGGGAAGGACAAGGTCAGCTGCACGGTGGACCACGCCAGCCTCAAGGAGCCCAAGATTTGTTCCTGGGGTGAGGATTTTCATAATGCATGTTCAGTGTTATTAGTGTTTGTACTTTACACAATTAATCTACATTTTTCTTGTTCTTTTGTTGCAGACTCGTCCTTGGATCAGTCAACAAGGAGCTTTGTAGCTGGTGGAGTCTGTGCTTTGATTTTGGGAGCCATATTTGTTTCTTTGGGTCTGACTCGGTACTGGAGGAAAAGCCGTCCAGACATTTCTAATGTCCTCTAAAGTCAGTCAGTGATGTGAACATTTTCATCTTCAAAAGCTTAATTGTATATTTGTGTGTGTATCCCACTGGTCACAATAGTGACCGTAAAAAAATGTTTCATTTCAAAGGCTATAAAAATGTTCCTGAATGATCTATCAATGTATTTCCAGCAGATATGGAAATAATAAAGGGTCTCAATGAAATATGTGCAGTATCACATGTTTACTGTAAAATGTCACATGACCAGAGCTGTTTACTTCCTGATTGGGCCAAGAGAAGAGGATGGCAGCAAGAAAGCTCCCAAACAAGAGGTTAGTAAAGTATGTTAACATAAAGATAGGACATAGATTTTGGTACACATCATGTTTAAGCTGTCTAGTATTGATATATATATTTTCAATTACTCAACTTTGTTTAATGTGGTCATAGAACTCACAAACATGTCACCGGCAACAATAGTGACCTCAATGCATATGCAGAAGTTATGCAAACAGAGCATGATTGGAATGATGGCCTCCCCTTCACCACACCCCCCTTCCCCTGTTCCAGCTCTTCTAACTCCTGCCATAACAATGAAGGCCAGCTAGAAGACCCAAGGGCCTCTAAGTGCCAGAGGGTCTAGCCAGAAGACGCAATGGCCTCTAGCCTAGAGAGGGACCAGCCAGAAGACGCAAGGGCCTCTAGCCTCCAGAGGGACCAGCCAGAAGGTGCAAGGGCCTCCAGCCTCCAGAGGGTCCAGCCAGAAGATGCAAGGGCCTCTAGCCTCCAGAGGGGCCAGCCAGAAGATGCAAGGGCCTCTAGCCTTGGTCGTTGTGTCCTTGGGCAAGACACTTCACCCACCTTGCCTGGTGTGAATGCGGATGAATGGATTGTTTGAGGTGGTGGTTGGAGGCAGAATGGCAGCCAGGCCTCTGTCAGTCTGCCCCAGGGCAGCTGTGGCTACAATGGTAGCTACCACCACCAGGATGAATGTGTGTGAATGAATAATTGATTGTGTAAAGTGTCTTTGAGTGTCTTGAATAGCGCCTAATAAATCTGATCAATTATTATGATCATTATTATTTAAGTTTCTAACACTTGAACAGATTAAATTCATTACACTATTACGCTATTTTTAAGTTCACAAAATTAAGTAAGTACAGCTAAATTTTAAGCAAACTTTACAAGTAGAAATGAAGTAAAGAAGACTAATGGCTATATTTACTTACCTGTTTTGAGTTCAACCGGTTTCCTAAATTCATTTTAATAAGATCAACTTTTCACAGTTTGCAGTGTACTTCCTCGTTCTCGCTGGTGTTTGCTCACCGCGTTCTCTGAATGTTTGTTTTTTTAACATCTGGACTGCTCAAACGTATTTATATAAGTTTTGATTCTCAATAAATTAACCGTTTTTTAGTGACTTTCCAAACTCAACAAAACATCCCTGTGAATGCCGGAATGTGACTTGGACCAATATCAGACAAGCTATTGAAATGCTGCAATTTTGCATCTGGTCAAATGATTTCCTAATCAGCTTTCTCTGATTGGTAAATATCTTTCCGCATGCATCTATGGTTGCAACTTGGTGGTTTGCAAAAATTTGGGAAAACCCCTGCTGTAAATAGTGAATAGGCAGCACAAGAATCAGAGTGAACAGGTTCGGTGCATGACGCAAGCTGAAAGGAAGAACTTGTGTGCAAACTGCACATCAGTCGGCTGAGAATTCCTCAACAGCCTGATCCCACTTTGTTTTCAACATGAAGTGCTCCAAGTACCTGCTGTTACTGTGGCTTTTGTCTCCATCCATGATGGGTGAGTAACTCATTTTGACCTCTTACATGCACTATATGTGCAGTATGTGCATTTTGTATGTGCACTTTCTTCTAAGGCTGAAGGATCAAGTGCACAGTGTTGCACTTTAAGCAATGACCTTAACATGTAAGCAGAACGTTCTGCCAGATCCTGCTAGAGCAGCAAGTTAGAACCATGTCTCTGTTTTTGTCTTCAGTGACCTGAGCAATCAAAGGTGTTGACTCTCAGAAGCCTGTGAACTTTATCTGTCAGCATGGTTGTAAAGATATTAAAATGTGAACAAAAGTGTACGTACACTTGTAAAAACCTGGTCGAAAGGTGCACAGGCTCAGAGGAGTCACCAGTTGTGGTCAATCACAGCCACTCCTGAGAAGCTAAGAAGCTATGAGATGAAGACAGTTTGATGAACAGTTTTCTGCATCACCAACGTTGATCATTTAAGTTGCTGTACGTATATTTTTGACCAGATTTTGTCATATTTCCAGACAATAAATCTGTAAAAGGACCAAAATGCATGATTGTTTTTCTTTGCAAAGACGAATGTGTTTCTATGTTTTGATCATAGAAAATTCAGTTACAAGAGCAATCGGAAACTCAGGACTGCTGTGATGTACATGGTCTTTGCAAGTGTGTGCACACTTTTATTCACGACTGTATACAGTATATATTTTTATTCAGTTATTAAACAAGAGTCAGTGATGCTTGCAGCTCATATGTAGACATATTCTAACACATTTACGGTGACAATTCTAACATGCAGCCCTCAAGCAGATGTTGTTTTTACAAATTGTGCAGACATGAGCATAAAAATGTCATCACAATCAATTTAACTGTTTACATATTTCAGTGAAAACCAAGTTACCGAACCGGTCTTGACATTCCTCAAGCCATGCTGGTAGGACGGCCTGTAGCTGGGTTGTTATATATTATACAGAATCATCAGGCTTTTATCTCCAAAGGTTCCTGTTCCAT